AGCAGACCGATCTCGTTGCACAGCATCTGAAATGTTGTTATGGTCATTCTTAAATGTAATTAAATTCTTAAATTACACGAATGTGTTCCCAAACAGCAGGCATCCACCTCTGAAAGCAATGACCATTTATCGAGCTTTGTCTTCTCACTCTGAGGTGCAAGTAGACTTTTTTGATGTGCATGGAGGAATTTATTCGGCAAATTCGTTTCCAACTCCCATTATTCGCATTAACTCTTTTTCGCACAAGACAAAAACCACCTCAAGTGAGCGTAAAAACGTTTTCGCGAATGAAGGGATTTTTTTTTTTCTAAATTTGGCGTTTCCATTACTCGTTTCTTACTCAATACTTCAAAATGCGCATTAAAACAGGGTGATGGAAACATAGCTATAGACACATAAACATAAGGAGTGGTAAAGAATACTACTAAAAGTGTAGTAGGGGTGTCCCCGACTATGGATTTTCATAGTCAAATCGGAATTTTCGAATCTTGCCGATATTCGACTGATAGTCGAATCATATGTTTTGGGGGCGGGGCAAAATACATTACCAAGAGTCAAGTCAGACATTCGACAGTCATAATTACGTTAACACACAGGGAAAATGTGTAACAGATGCCTCGCAGATACAAACGGGGTAAATAATGTTTCATGTTTTGATCAAAAGATAGTTAACTTTAAATGTCAGCGAAAGCCTAAGAATTCACAACATTTTTTACAATAGTGCTCTCATTATAACGTTATGTATATGACAGTAGCCTAGTTATTAATGTTCTGCATTTCTGTTTTGAGCTGCGCACGCTGAGGATGACCGGTAGAATGAAGCAGCAGGATTTTAATCAATGGGATTTAACTCATAATTTATCTCATATAGAATACGCTTTGTTATTTATACAACATGACGTTAATATTACGACTTATAGGCTATCTGCACAAAATGCCCCGAATGCACGAACGTGTCTGTGCGGTTCTGAATGAACTCCTTTTGTGGACGCGTTCTTTACGCAACAACGTGCAGAAACACGGCAACTAAACTAAAAATTCACAGCGTTTTATTATAATAGTGTTCTCATTATAATGTTATGTATATGACAGTCCCAGTCATAGTTATTAATATTATGCATTGTTGTTTGTCGTGCTCGCGCTGCGTGCTGAAGAGATAATCACAGTAGCTACTAAAATGAAGCGCTTTACTGCAGCGCAACTCAACCAAATGCATCCTATACGAGATAAATAATATATACACAATATATATAAACAGGCTGAAATGTTTTGAAATCACTTGTACCCTACCTGATCGAAAAAATCCAGTCTTTCACTCTGCCTGTGTCGATTTGAGTCTTGTTAAAGTTTTAAATCCCTGCCGCCAATATGCTTCTCTGTCGGTCACGGATTATTCACGCACGTTAAAATATTTATTTAAAGCTTCTATCTTTTCAGATTCTTATTTACAGCATTATCTAGGCTGTATATTAACTTTGGGAGAAAACCGGTAGTTCTATGTGAAATCAGAAATTTGAGCACCCCCATATAGCCAAAATGACATGATCATAACACCTCTGCGAATATTCGACTGAGAGATTGGTAGTCGAATCGGGCTCCTCCTATCGAAGCATCGAATCCTAGACTATTCGGGGTCACCCCTAAAGTGTAGTAAAGAACAGACTCGCTACAACATTCAGAAACCAGAAAGCTATGCATATGGGATCTGCATCACATGTGCGTTGTAGGCAAAGCGTGAAATGAAAGCTGTTGCTCGCGCATAAACACCCACATGCGCATACCCTCTCAGACTCACTAGGTCTGCCCTTCTCTTCTAATGGCTGTGCATTTGACTTGGTAGCCATGCTTAAAGCCTCTCTCAGCAGGAGCACAGAGCTTTAAGTGTGCTTGCCTGAAACACCATCAATACTTAATCAGTCCATTATTCAGTGCATATTTAATCCTTCAGCTGCTCGCTCTCACATCTCAGGCTAGGCGTTTAAAATCGGCCATGCCAATAAACCCGCCTACTTACTCATTTATGGGTTTAGCAATTGCCTACTATCATTTCTGTCATTTTGCTTGGAGGAACAAGAGCGCTCCATGTATTTTGAAAACTTCCGCTCAGCCTTTGACAGTCTCAGTCATTTTTAATGGCTCTGTCCGAAGGTTTGGCTGTTTATTTAATGAGACCAATGGCATGGATTAAGTGGCTTATCCATTGCGAAAATTCTTTTCTGCCTCACTTGCTTTTTATTGCTCATATTCTCTTACTAAATCCTCAGATTCACTGTTTGCTTTGTTTCTTAGGCTTATTAGTGCTGTTGTCAGCTATATTTAGATACATCCGGTCTCACTGTTTAATGGAATGAGGATGTTTATATCAGTTTTAGTGGTCAACCAATATGGATTTTTAATGGCCAGGACTGATATCTACAGAACAGGTCGATATAATGTCATGATGTGCTATAATGCACACATTAAATTGTTGGAACCAAATCAAAATTTACTCAAAAATTACACTAAAAATTAGTCAAGCGGAGCCAAATATCCAAGCAGATTATTGTCCACTGATCTAAATATGATCAAATATAGTCCTAAGTAACATATCAGTCTATCTCAGTTTATCAACATCTTCATGTAATTTGCTTTATTATTAGCCAACTATGGTTGCAGCTCCATTAGTAGCAACATAGTTCAACTATTTGTCATTTCCTGAAATCATAGTTCCAAAGAACATTCGCAAACTACATCTCAGTGTTGTGTGGTCGGAACTGCAGCTCTTAATCTGTGGTTAACCTGTGGTTAGTTTCTTGTTAGTATGACATGTAGGCTTAAATAGATCACGCTCTTGAGTAAAATAAGCAAGATAACATTCAGTACAATCTATAGGTGTGTGCCAATTCACATACTTGCGTTCTGTTCTATTCTATTCCAATTTATAGTATAAATAGTGTGAGCAGTGTGTTCTCACTAAAAATACCAAAAAGAAGCACACTTCAAATACCCAGGGAAAAAATACATTATCAATTGACAAAAATTAAATTTGGAAGGTTGGACATCTCATGCACTGAGCTGTCATGGGCATGGCTTTCTTTACATAGCAGAAGAAAAGGGCTATCAAACTCTTATATTGGATGACAAAATAACCTTATAATTTTCATACACTTGATGGTAGAGTACATAATGCAGGGGTTCTCAACTCTAGCTGTTGAGGTCCACTTTTCTGCAGAGTTTAGCTCCAACCTTGATCAAACTCACCTGCCTGTGACTTTCTAGTAATCCCCAAGACTCTGAATAGCTTGTTCAGGTGTATTTGATTTAGGGTTGTAGCTAAACTCTGCAGGAAAGTGAACCTCGAGGACAAGAGTTGAGAACCCCTGACATAATGCTTTAAGTGCATAGTGCATCATTTGGAATGCAACATCTTTCATTCAATATATATATACTAATTTCATTTTACATTTGAGAAGAGAACCTGGTTTAAATGGCTGGTTCAAAGTTACTGTGGTTTCAGGAAACAGTTGTGGCTAGCTAGTTAATTTCATCAATGATACATTTAAGAAGTGAGTTACATTAAAGGTCACATCTTTTACACCTTTCTGGAGTTTTATTTTAAGTCTTGATGTCCTTAAGAATATATATTTGTGGTATAAGTACCGAAAACCATCTCAATATATTTTTACAGCTACTCTCTCAGAAGCTCTGCAAAAAACAGGTCGATTTTGGCCTGTCTATTTAATATTCAGGAGCCTCTCTTCTGATTGGCCTGTTGTTTTCTGAGTGACGCACGGCCAGACACTTGTACAAATGTGGATGGGTGACATGAATGGAAATGATTCTAGATTGGCGATGTAGTATTTGGTTTCTGTACTGTATTTTCCTGCGCTCAAACCTGCCAATCTAAAGGATCAAACCCCGTGTATGGCGTTATTTTGTTATTGTTATGTTATATTGTTATTGCTCAGCAATGGCATGGACGCGATGTTGTCTGGGGGTTTGGCAAAAGGAGAGTGGGACGGTGGGCGGTGCTCGGG